CCGCCCTTTGAACACAATGGATGGTGCTTATGAATGGAAACAAAGGATTGCATTGCTAGTTTCCAAATAAGTGATCTTGCTTAATGTCATTATCTGACCTCTTAGCCTAACCTGAGGATAAAATCGGGGAGAGGAAATCATATTCTCCAAGTTGAGTTCCTGGAGATTAGGCAGGATATAAATGAAATAAACAAAAGTCAACAAAGAATACCAATTAAAAATCCTTCATTTTTCAGTTTCTCCTCTATGAATAAATTACAGAGAAGGGGAAAAAATGAATAGGACTGTGAAGAGACCCACTCCCACGCTTCCTAAATAAATCAAATTGCACAAAGTCCTAAGGGCTGTGTGACTGGAAGTGGTGGAGGATTATGACCCTGGTTCAGTAAGGAATCTACTTAGTTACAAACAGATATGCTTTATTTGTTGTAGCAGCCAATTACTCTTTTTGTTTGTTCATGATATACATGAGTTGGAAAACTTGGAACTTGATCTGAATGAGTCACCAGCAGTTGAGCTCAGTGTAAAATATGCGTTCATTTTAAATACAGTAAAATAATCTACCTTGTTAAAGTCTAAATACAGACATTATATTCTAAAGTTTTAGTACCTATACTTTTCTTACTCTAAACACTATGTCTAGTGTATCACCTGGGAGTATTAGAGTACAGTAAATATTGCTTCTCCACAATACACTGCAAATCTGGCCCTCACTAATGATAAATAATATGTGTGTACTCTAAGTTTCATTCCTGAACAAAAAATAACAGATTGTAAGTCTCTGATAGATTTAAAAGCTACCTTCTACCCAGGGCTCTTCCAGACAAGAATACAGTTGTAACATTCACATGAACTCAGACGTTACTGAGCAACTCATGAGGTCACACAGGGCATTTACTATGCAATATATCCTGTAATCTTCCTACTGCAGTTGTGGTTTTTGACAAAAGGAGAACTCCTATTTTCATGCAGTGAGTCTAATTTTAATAGTGGGAAGAGCTTACAACTTTGTCTTGCATGAGAACGTCTACACAGTCATTAAATGGGATGATTAACTTGCCTGCCGCCCAGATCTTATTAACTATATCCCACTTTAGTGGAGACACGATATGACTGTAAGGGGGTCCAAATACAGAACTATCATGTCAAGGTAAGCAGATGGGAAGCTGGCAGTTTCCTGTCTGTTCTAGCAAGAGTGGTGTACAAATTCCTTTAGAGTGATATCAGGCCATGGACATCAGGCATTACATGAAACTGCATTTCAAAAATGGCTGAGATCAGGGTTTTAAAGGGTTAAATTTTGTCCTTTTAGC